GTATATAGTACTATCATGATTCCTATGTATTTGAGTATATAGTAAAATAGCACAGCACGAAAATACAAATTAGAATGGATGTAAAGTATCAATGCTATTTTTCTATAACTACGTAATACTTATTCTAGTACAAAAAAGTACAAAATAGCAATATTTTTCTTAACTCTAGCCACTAAAAAGGTATTTGTAAAAATTGAGTCTATATTAACCATACTTATATTATTAAATATAATTTTTGTATGTCCCTCAAATCCATACAATACTATTTTACTAAATACCATACTGGTATATAGACAAACTAAATTAAAAAATAATCTTTGAGTAGTATATAGTGTAAAAGTATACTTTGTAAACGAATTTAGATTTTTTTATAAAATATTCTAGTATATATATATTTGATATGTAAATCTGTTATATTTTTAATTAGAAAAATAATTCTAGATTTAAAGTTTTGAATATACTATTTATAGAAAATATTAAATTTCTAAAGTTGTATCTTACATTCAAAAAAAAAAAAACATTATAAGAATATTCAATTAATTGGAGTGATTGAGTATGATCTTGATTAATATACTAGTGCTCCAATGCTAATCAAAGAGCCAAGATATTCTCAAACACCTTGCTCAATAAATTGAAGATAAACAATGTTTTTGAGCATCTTTCTAGATACAGTTTTTTAATGATCAAAGATAGCTTGGGACAAAAGTTTATTAATCGAAATAATAAACTCAATAAACATTTTACTTACTCTTTGATATAAATAAATCATGTTTCCTGTATTTTATTCAAGTATTGTCAAGAGAAAATGAAACATCGGGCTTTCAAATTTATCATTTATTATTTACCAGATGGTAATATAAGCAATAATAAAAGATAAGCTTGAAAGCCTGGTGTCTTATTTTCTCTTGGCAGCACTCATTTATTTTATAACAAGCACGTTTAATCAGTTGAAATATTCTCCATTAATCTTCATTATTAAAATTTAATTCCTAAATATATTTCCACTTATTAATCAAGGTACTTATAATTATTTTTAAAAATTTGTGAAAAGATGCTAGAGTTTTCAATACCAGCACTAATCAGATTTTTACTAAGCAGAATTTTTATTTTTTTCAATTCCTTACATAGGTATATAGTTTTCATTTTCCACATCTTTTTGAATCTAAATATTTGGAAATAAAATAAGAATGCTCAAAATCTAATTAGTTGAAATGAGTGCATAAGAATGAAAACCTGAAAACCGATCATAGTAAATCATTAAATCAGTTTCTAAATTTTCACTCTCATGTACTCAAATAAAAAAACTAACTAAGTGTTACTAAATAAAATATGAAATACAACCCAATTTTTTTGAGTTACTCAGATTTAAAATTAGTGAAATAGTTTTACTACTATTGGTAAAACTAGTATTGAATTAGTAAAATTGGTGAAACTAATTTTACCAACATCTCTACGTATAGCATCTTGATCAATAGCAAATTATTGTAGAAACTTCTCAATATTTCTTTCTAAATTAATTTTAACAAAAAAAAAGATTTAAGACCAGTGTTTTGTTATTTAAAAAATATCTCTATTCTTTAAAATACTACTGCTAATAGGTTTCTCAAAGTCGAATCAAATCGAATCGAATATTAATTAAATCAAATAAATCCTTAATTTGAATTTGATTTGATCGAATCAACTCAAATAAAATCAAATAATATTCGAATATTATTAAAAATTTTAAAAATTTCATCACTTTTCAAAAATTGCAATTTACACAAAATTTTACTAAGCTAATCGATTTTGTATATTAAATAAAAAATGTTCTTCTAATCAAAATACTCCTAGTCAGTTAGAATGAAAATGGCAGTTATCATAATAAAATTTGCATAAATAGCAATTGAATCTATAGTTTCACTTCAAATCAATTCAAATATTCAAATATTTGTCAAATCAAATCGAATATTTTGTTAATTTGAATTTGATCGAATCAAATAAATCCATGATTTGAAATTGATTTGATTTGAATATTTGATCGAATCAAATCGAATCAAATTGAATTGCGGAACCCTAACTGCTAATACTTTTTCTTATCTGATCTGACGATATTTTTACAGCATCGCCTCTGCTAATACTCTTCTATCTAAGGTTCAAATAGTGTTCTTGTATTGCTGTAACAAACTATAACTGTATAGCATTACTCTAGTACTACCTAATCTACGAATTTAATTGGTTGATCTTGCTGTCAAATGATTGACACACTAATCAGTCAAATTTAGGTGTATTAAAATTTTTAAGGTGATCTACAAATCCGCCAATACATATCAATTTGCATCTATAATATAAGAGGATATAATAAAGATCTTAAAAGACAAGTTTGGAAGGACTTTTGTCTTTTTAATAACCTTAGTATTATTGGCATTACAGAAACTAAGATCTTTAAAGAAAAGGCAAACAATCAGTTTCAAAAATCTAGATTCTTTACCTACTTTTGGTTCTGTACAGATAGTGCTAAAGCAGGAGTTGCTATTATAGTTCAAAACTAACTTAAACTACACATCTATAATATCTTTACTAAGTCTGAATATGCTATTGCCATTGATCTATTCTTCAAACATGATTTCAAATTTAGAATCATCAACATTTATCTGCCTTGTGATAGTCTTCAACTTTATTTACAAGCTTAAAACACTATTATCTAATAGATTTAGCAAGCTATTTCTTTGAATATCCAATCTATAATAATGGGAGACTTTAATATCTTTAGTAACAATACATAATCCTTATCAATTAAATACAAACTCCTCTACTTTCTTCAATACAACAATATATATAACTTGGCAGCTTATACACAATCCATAAATACTATATAATATAATAATAGAAATAACAGCAGCTGCATTAATTATATATGGGGGCCAACCACCCTATTCTTCACTACTTAAATACATTTTACCTTGAGAATACCGAAATTAGCACTAATAGTAACTATAAGATTTTGATATCTTTCTGATCTTTTCTTTATACAATCACAGAAAAACATTGGCTCTGACCTATTTCTAACCCCAAATTCAGGCCGATTTGCTGAATTTTGGTAGATCCACTAATCTACTCTGATTTGTCAAATGTTGTATTGTATGATTTTGTAGTCTTTTGCATTGTTATGATTTATTGCATGATTCACTTGATCTATTGTATAATGTTATGTCAAATTGATAGTCATTACTTAGTATAATCATAGTCTGTCAAGATGATAGTCACATTTTGAGTTTTATAACAAGTGGCCTATTAGGACAACAGTTATATTATGAATGTTTTTTGTTGTAAAAGTGGCCTGTCAGAACGACAGTTACATTTTGAATATTTTTTGTTGTAGAAGTGGCCTGTTGAGACAACAGTCACATTTTGAATATTTATTGTTGTAAAAGTGGCTTGTCAGGACGATAGTCACATTTTGAATGTTTTTTGTTGTAAAAGTGACCTGTCCGGACGACAGTTACAAAAGATTTTTGGTTTTTCTAGTAGGATTCTAGTTTTTTTTGCTTTGCCCGCTGATATAGTAACAAGATAGTAAACAGTAGCATAGTTTGTTTATATGATACTTTTAAGGTTTGCATAATTAGTATGTACACTATAGTATATGAAGTGGAAGTAACAGATAACCCATAATTGTTTTCTATTTGTTTCCTAATTGTTTTTCATTTGTAACACCCCTCAATGAGGAACAAATTATATAAATGGCACCTAATCGATAAGTGAAAAAAATTTTGAACGCAATTGAGCATAAGTATAAGCAGCGCCTTGATGCATTGCTTTTGCATATTGCGCTATCGCTTGCACTATGAGTACGTATATATCTTATACAATCGTTTAAGCTTTGTGAAACTTGAAAATTTTATTAAAAGCAATCTCAAAGAAGATCAATTATCAAAAAAAGCAAAATTGATCCCAAAATAGCAATTATAAATAACACCAAGAGCAAATGATTATTTTATAAAAAAAAAAAAAAGTTGAGAGGCATTAAGCGAATATGTTATAAGGCAAAGTGAGTACTTTAAGTTTATTTAATAATTCATGATGTTTAAAAGAGAAGATATTCTACTTGAAGTTCCAAACAAAGTATTGTAAAATGTATAAAAAATTATCTTTAACACACCTGTTCATGCCTATATGGGCATGCCCAATTTTTTTCCTGTGCCCTGAACTCTAGTATCATACTTTCATTTCTTAGTTAATTTAATTTTTAAATCATTGTAGATAAAGTAAATAAATTAGAATGAACTAAATTTCTCTTTAGTAAGAATCCTAATCTGAATAAAAATTAAATAGTCTACTTTTTTGAATTTGAAAATTTCATAAAATATGTTATCGCTATATATACTTCTGCCTATTTCGATATAATACTACCAAGTCATTATGGTTTTCTAGGGTTTTATCAATATCATAGTAAACAAAATGACTTTACATTTTTATTTCAAAAAGAAGCAAATACTTTAAAAAAAAATCTGAAAACAATTTTAAATAATAACAGTAATTCTGAAATAATTAAAAGAATCAAAGTTTTAAAAAAAAATTTTGGAGTAATATAAACATCAGTATTTTAGTAGTAGGATACTTCTCTTTCAAGACTGAGAAATCAAGCAGCCCGGGTTCAACTCCTTGCTGTTAGACTTTTTGTAAAATATTTTTTTTTTGTGACAAGGCAGTATAGAAGATTCTTAGAGTCTAAAACTCACACAACTACGGTGGGCTTCTTGCGTATGGCTCACTTTATAATTTTGTGTGTTCGTTATGGTCTACAGAAATATAGTATGAGAATCTTTCTAGCAGTTCTAAGAACTCTGACAACTATAGCGGGCTTCTTGCATGTGACCCACTTTATGATCTTGTGTATTTATTGTTGTCTGTGTTGTAAGTAACTATTTTTTATAGTATTTATCAAATTTATGTTTTTGCAGAATCACTAAGCCAAATTCTGAGAAGTTGACAAATTTTGAAACAATATTGAAAATGAATATATGAATAAAGAACTTAATATAGAGAAGAAGGGATTGCAATTAGATGAGGTAAATATTATATTTTTATCACTTTTTTGATTGATATAATTAATAATGAAATTTTAGATTCTAGTTGAAAATAGCTTGTATGATAGCTCAAGGAGCTTCGAAAGCAACTGCAACAGTAATGGAAAATGTTGATACAAAGCTAGTATGATTTAATTTTTATATAGTATAGTCAATAGATATAATAACCAATGTAGTTATCATGTTTTTTATTTTTATTTTTTTGGCAGAAATCTAATCGAAAACATAGTTTATCTGATATATCCAAATGTACTGATGAAATAGAATGTGAAACAGCTAAAAAGGTAAAAAATAAATCTATGCTTAATTGCAGAAATGATTTACACATTCACTACTTTCGATGCGTGGCAGATTAAAACAACCCAAGATCCATTTACACTTGCTTCTTCTACCAGTTGCAATAATAAAACTGAAGAACAAGATGAGCAAATTGAAATCGATCTTATTGATATTAAGAAACAGTTAGAAATAGAGCTATTAATTGAGATATGTAGTATTGAGCTTTTGATTATTTGCTACATTTCTGATGCTATTCATATAACTTAGTAGAAGGTTGGTAATATAAATGTCACATAGAAGTTTTGTTAGTACCAACGAAGTATCATTGACAAGGTGATAAGCTATAGATTGAAGTGGAATGATTTATATAAAATTTTGTAAGTATTATAGAACAACATGGAATTGAAGAATAAAATTCATTGAGGGTGTGGCGACTTAGTGAAGTAGTGAAGTTGTCACATCCCAAGTGGCAAGAACAGAGTTCGAATCCACACTGGCGACAAAAATTCAAATTCTCAGTATAGTGTTATGGCAACTATGAGTGTATGGGCAGATCGACATCTGTAACTAGATCACACTAGCTCATACTGGGAGACTGTAGAACAATAGTGTAATGTACAAGTTATACAAAATCCGAATGAAGCAGTCATGTAAATCTGAGATCAGCACACATGGAAGCCTGCTTGGCAAGATCCGAATAAAGAGATAGCACAGATTTTTGATAGTACTATGTAAAGAATTATCAATCAGAAAACTGGAGAACTAAACAGAACCAAAGTGTTTGGCAAGACACTTCACCAACCAGGCCGTCAAAGAGTAATCAGAGGAAAAGAACCCAATTGTGGAGACCAAAAGCAGGTTACAGCCCTTTTAGGCTATCTGGATTAGAAGTTTTGAATGATGAGTATATAGGGGATAGTCCATATAGTAGGTGTTGGGGTTTAGGTGAACTTTGCAAGAGCACAGAGTAGATAATAGTAGCAGAGATAAAAAGCTGCAAGTACTTGGCCTTGGCCTAGTTACAAGTTACTGAAAATCTAGGTGATACATGTGTAGGACATGGACCACTCTAGTAGGTTTATCACAAGGATAAAGAATCCTCTATATGGAAGTGTGTGTTTGCTTTAAAGTTTTAAGGGACCTTCTCAGCAGGTTCTCTTTGAGGAGAATATCTGATGGCGCTAAGTTGATCAGAGGGTTTAAATAGATAATCCCCTTAGTTGGATTATAAGTATAGCATCTAGTGTAGTTCATATGGGTTACATATGCAAGACTGCTTAAATAAATAACCAAAAGTTGTACATATGGCTAGTTATACCCTTGTTAATATAATAAAGTCAGGAGTAACCTATATGGCTGCTCTGAAATTCAAATTAAAGTTTAATAAAATATGCTAAACCCCTAAGTGGTCACCTTAATATTAAAAAAAAAAAAAGAATAAAATTCATTCTTATTACTCTAATTAAATTTATGCTTTGCGATTGTGCTTTAGAGCAATCGTATCAATTATTGTTCTTTTCTGGCCATGCCTGTATTCAAAGTTTTTTACCAACCATGAATGGGATTAAGTAACTCAAATCAACCTATATGTAATCTGGCATTCTGTAATACCATTATCAATCTCAACAGTTCTTCGGGAAGCTGTAATGATGCATTTAACGGGCAAGAAAAGTCATATGCAATCTGATAAATCAAAACTGAGTAAAGCTGTTGTTTGCACGTTTAACAATTTGTATGTTGACTTTACATCTTTATTGATAATTTGGAAATTCTGATAACATATTACTTAATTTAATATATTATAGATGTGATATTCCTACCCATTCTCCAACCAAATTTCTAAAGAATTGCATTGTGATAAGTTTTTATATCTCTATATAAACTCTTTGTTTTTTGGATGCCTTACAGAATATGAAGTTCAACTTAATCATGCTGTATGTAGTACAAAAAAATGGCCTGACTTTTTCTGTGTTGTTAATGATATACCTATACTTAATTCTGAGATTAAACTTCTCGGAGTAACATCATTTAGAAAGAAGAAAGATTTTGTAAAATTGCATTTAATAGCAAAAAAGTTAATAAATCAACAACTAAACCTAAAAGGAGGTCTTGGAGTGGCAGGATTACTAATAAACATAGATATTATGCAATGAATTGTTGGCTTATTTATTTATATATATAGTCGACTCTGGTTAAACTGAACCTCTCTAAACTGAACACTTAATAAATTCTCTGAAAACTGAACGAAAAACTTTAGAACATTTGTAAATTTGATTATAAAGTTCGGATTAGCAATATATAACTCTTTGAGAACTGAACTTTTAAAAATTTTTACATATAAAAATCCTTAAGTATATTTTTTTGCGGCATAAACAGAGTAGACTGTATTTCTAAATCTAACATATTCAGATAATCTAGGCAATGAAGTTGAATCCTTTTTTTATAGACTTTAAATATGAATTGTACTGCTCATGGCCTTTTTATAAGACTAAGTTGGTGATTGACAAAGCCTCGATGCCATTAATAGAATCAAATTTTTGTCATTTCGTAATATTAGAGGTGTATATAGTTTGTTCTATTTTAATCATTATTTTAGTTTATGATGAAAATCTATTATTATGAAGCTTAAATTAGAATTCTCATTTACAGAATCGAATAAATAAACTTGCTAAGGATTTTAAAGGACGTAATCAACCATTCACACTACCTCTACAAATGAAATTTATAACTAAATTTCCCGATTCTCCACAACTTAAGCAGTTACTTGAATTATCATATATATCATGTGTATAAAGCAAATATCTTTCATACTAATGTATAGATATCATAACTATGAAATTTAGATTTCTTTTTGCACATAAACCTAAAAATAATAAAATTTCTAATGTTTTAATATAATAAAAGTTTATAATTTAGCTGTTATTCATTATATTAGTAAACTGAGTCTGGTGATATATTAATTTATTGCTATCGATGTCTATTAACTCGCGTATGATCAAAAATTTTTCTTGGCATTGGCATTACAAATAGGGAATGGAACCCCCTAAAATTTTTCTTAATCATTTAATCATTTATAACAGATTATTAGTTTTGACAGAATTAGTTTGGGGAGAATATACTGTATCTATATACTGTCAGCTCTCCCCAAACTGATTCTGTAAAAACTGATATCCTACTATAATCGATTAAAAATCGATTTATCAGGTCTGTTTCTTATTTCATATCTGATAACTTGCTATTTTTGATATCTGATAACCCAAATTTATACGTTCTCAGTTTGTTGATAATAAATAGCCAATCAGATCATGAATTATTAAGCTAAAAGATGAGATTGAAAATACTAACTAGCATTACTTTGACAAGAAAGCAATAAGAAAGATGGCATATACAGATCACATCAATAAGTATAACTTAATTTATTATACTGCAATTTATTACTTAGTAAAAGACTACTAAAATTTTATTTTCAATAGCTTTTTATTTATATTGCTAATACTGATGAGAGAATTTGTTGGTATACCTTTTTTTTTTTTTCTTTTTGCTAATCTTATATACAACTTTTTTCTTAAAAAACCTTTTTAATCTAAATTTTAATAAAAAAAATAAAAAAAAAGAGAAAATAAAACTGAGATCATTTAATCAAGTAAAGTATTGATTCAATCTATATTAGACTTGCTTTCTGACCTTTTCTTTGTGAACCTCTTTATGAATGCAAGATTGTAGCTTGTATAAGGTTTTTATTATTACTCCACCATCATCGATTCTTTCATCTATGATCTTCAAGGTGCTACGCAAAATATTCAATTGTTCTTCTTCAGTTAGGAGTAGCATTACAAATTTCTCCTCTACCTGTTCTACTTCTATTACAGTTTGAATTAAGTCTTCATCGGTAAATTGGTGGTGTACTTCTCATTCTTCTTCAGAGTTTAGTAAATCTTCAATGGGCATTGGATTATAAAAACATAATGTGTCTATTTGCTGCTGAAGTTCTTTGACTGTTAATTCATCATTAGATCAAAAGGTGGGTTTTCTTCTACATCATTAGTACTTTCAACAATAGCGAGGAAGGTAACAGGTATACTACTTTCATTACAAAAAGATATAACTTTTGTGTGAAACCAACATCTTCTAATCATTTCAGTAGATACTTCTTTCTAGGCAATTTTCATCTATTTCATAGCCTGCAAATTAATGCAAGTTTGTAAAAAATTTATTTAAATTTTTTTTTTAACTACTTTAATCTAAAATTCTAACCTGATTCTTAAGAAAAAATAAAAATAAAAATAAAAACAAAAAAAAAAATCTAAAAAATAAATCTCAAAATTTAAAATTTTATCTTAAAATAAAGTTAATTTTTAGTATAGCACTACAAAAATTTTAAGTCTACTATTATTTAGCTTAATTAACCACTTTTTCATCATATTATTACCTGCAATTAATCGACTTTATATACATCTTTCTCTCTGGCTTCATCGCAATCAATTGCATGTTGAAGTTGTAGATGATGATAATGAAGCTTGAATGATGCGATAATATCAGTATCCATGGGCTGGATTTTTGATGTTGCATGTAGAGGCAACATGAGTACTTTCATATTAGTCAAGGTGAGAGCATCAGTAATATGTGAGGAGGCACTATTAAGGATAAGTAAAATGTGACAGTTTGTTTCTCTCATTTCTTCATTCAATTTTTCTATCTATTCTTAAAAAAATATAGCCATCATCTATGCCTTTTTATTATTATAATAATAGAACTTAAGTTTTTCTTCTATAAAAAAGTTTGTTCAATTATTGTTTGCATTGTCCAAAAAATGTTCGGAATGAAGTCGATTTTCCAAATATCAGTATGATATTGTACAATTTTCATACCGTGATATAAAAAAAAAAATTGTTAGATTAACAATATTAGATATAAACATTGTACAAAATTAGTATATGTTTGAAAAATCGACTTATTCTGAACATTTTTTGAACAAAAACAGAATAACTTTAGAAAATTTTAGAATAATATTAACAAAATTTTTCATGAGTTCAACTGTTTTTTTTTTGAAACTTCTAGGTCTTTGGAATGTTCAATAATAAAAGGTTAAAGTTTATGGGTGCCATCCACATTAGCTATAAATATGATTGTGAATCTTGTGCAATATTTTTTGACTCTTCAATCTGACGAGACACAATTATATGGTTAGAAGCCATAGCATAAAACAAGCCTATCTCATTCATGTTATAGACATTACGAAGAGAATACTAGTTAGTGGTATTAATAATATTAGGAAGGCTTAGGTTTATGACAGCAATATCAGCAGAACTACTCTTGCTATACAATTTATAGTAACAAAAATTATGCCTTTCTTGGAAAGCCTATAACTATCCATTTGAAAATTCAGGCTGATTATTTTTAGAGATTTTCATCATATTAGCTAATCTTTTTTCCTTAGCCTTAATCATATCTCTATTTAAATGCACAGCTCTATATTCATATTGTAATATCCAGTTCGCCAAGACAACATCTAGCTTAGGAAATATAACAATGTGATGCCTCTTGACTTCAGAATCATTTGAAGACATTTCATTAAATTCATCTTTTCTTTTTAGAATGTCAGAAATTGTACTTTGGTCTGGTGTTTTCACTAGCTTAAACTCATTTTTGGTCCACTTTGCAAGTTCTTTCAGAGTAAGTGTTAGATTTTTTTAATAGTAATCATATATCATTTTTCATTGATCATTATGCAAATTTTCAGCTAAGAAGACTTTGTCTTTTTTTTTTCTATTATAATAGCAGATGTAAGAGTATACAGTTTGGATGAACAAAAAGTTAACTAATAATTAGCAAAATGATTCTTTATATGATGGTCGCAGCATATAGTTGCATCAATAGCAAGGAACAGGATTTCCTAATAAGATTTTTTTTTTATTTATTTGTTTTTTTATTTTATTTTTAATTTTTTAATTTTTAAATTTTTTTTTTGTTTTCAATAAATACATTTTCGTAAAAAGCATTAATTTGATCTTTTTTTAATTAACCTGTCTTAAAAGATTACATCGATCTTAATTACTATTATATGATGTGTACTATATATTAGAACATACAAATCTTCAGAAAATATTTTGTGTTGAAATAAAGCACAAGATGATTTATATCTTTATTAGGATGCTATATTTTCTTGGTCATCTCGACTCACAATGTGAATTTTTTTTGTTGGATCAGTAAAAATAGTTCAAATGGGTCAAAAACAATAATTTTTTGTTAATTCCACCTTTGCTTCATTTAATGTGCTTCCTGATATCTTTGAAATATTTGGACAATACAGATGCATTTTATTCCCGAAGTATTTGATCATATTATTCATTCTCATAAATTCAAAGCTAATCTTATTCAGGATCATGTCTAATTTAGTTTATCACTTCCTTTATTCTAATCAGTTTCTTCTTTAAGTTAGTACTACCAAACCTGTTTGGCGTAACAGATTTGTCTTCACCAATAATTATTTAATTGACAGCTCAATTAGCTAACATTACACTAAATGACAATATATACCTGTACTGATCAAATTCTTTCTCTAACCCTGTATAACATAGCTAACTTTTGGTGAAATGACTGTGAAGTGAGCGATAGATTAGTGAAACAACCATTATTCAGCAGATCAACCAAAATTTAGAGTTGAAATAGCCTGAAGCTAGGCTAGCATTAGGCAATTATACTTGCCAAAGAAATTATCATTTGGACTAGTATTTTGACCTGTCACAAAAATCTCAATCCAGGTCACCTGCGGGTGGGTCACCCAGGTGGTAAAAGAAATCCCACAACAGGTCACCCGCAGGTGGGTCACCTGGGTCATTCGGGTAGTAAAATAAATTCTGCAATGAGATTTATATACGTAATCATTAGTTAAATTAGATTTTTATTTATAAATATAATTTTTGTACTCAACAGCTAATTAAAACAAATAATTGCAGACATTCATGGAGTTGAGTAGTTTATTTAATTACTTATTAAATGGCAAATATTCATAAATATAAATATTTAGATTAATAAATTCTTTATGTTTATACACTAAATTTATATGAATAAGTAGTATGTGAAATTAATATAAATACAGTATATAATATAATATTCTTTATACTCAGTACTGCTAAATATAAATATATAATAAAACTTCATGAACTTGGGTAACTTACAACTGTTTTCATAAATTCTGAGACACCTGATCAAATGATTTTTGGCTGATCCGGTTAAGCTATTGATTTCGGCATTATAGATTCAATATAAAATTAGGTAACTAATATAAAATTTTTGTTTTAAAATTGTTCAGAATAGTGTCGATTTTCTGAACAGGGGTTTATTCTTATATTACACTATATAATCATATTTAATTGTAAGTTAGAACAGGATTGCAGACCATCTATATATGCAATATTTAGTTACAATACTGTCATTTAGGTTTAATTTATTTATATCGATTTAGTGATCTATATATTTTCTAAAATTGCCCTATACGATTTACAAACTAAGTCAGTTGATGAAATAATAATGCGAAACTCTATATTATAACAAAAGAAAATTTCCAAGATTAAGTTGTAATACTAAATCTAATCAAAAGCTTTATGATATAATATAAGAATTGTCATATAAATAACATTGTCTATATTACTAATTTTAGTGCAATAGCATCGTACATCTACCTTATAATAATAAAATTATTATGTAAAAAATATATACCGAAATCAATAACTTATAGCCGTTCTCATAAATTCTGGAAAATCTTGCAAAAATTGACTGACCAAATATTTGCCGATTCGATAAGTTTTAATTCAGCAGTGATAAATTTTTGATCTGAGATGTAATTGCATTCGAATCAAAAAACTCATCATATTAACAAATATTCAGTTGGTCAATTTTTGCCAGATTTTCCAGAATTTATGAGAACAGCTGTAATCAAATCGGCCAAAAAATCATTCAGCTAATGTTTATCAGGTGTCATAGAATTTATGAAAACAGCTGCAAGTCACAATGGAACAAGATTCTAAAAATTTGATATTCGCCAACTCTAAGCAGTAGCTCAGACTACAGCTTTATTGTCTTGGCTTTATTCTACAAAGCACTTCTAAGTTTACACTGTTCTCATAGATTCTGAAACAACTAATAAAAATTGACTGCTGATTATTTGACCGAATTCTATAAGTTTTTGAATTCAAATTTACAGCTGTTTTTATAAATTCTGGTATGTATGTTTGGCAAAAAATTGGTCGACTGAAAATTTGCCAATTCGATAAGTTTGTGATTTCAGTAATAATTGCTACCAAATCAGTATTTATCGAATCAGTAAATATTCAGTCAGTCAATTTTTTTCCAGTCGTTCCAGAATTTGTGAAAATAGCTGTAAAAACTTATCAAATCTAGACAAATATTCATTGGTCAATTTTATCAGTTGACAGCTGAAATGCATATTAAATTTATATTCTAAAATAAATTTGTAAATATCTAGCCTGGGTTAGCCGGATATAACTTTTTCTTTTTGTATATTATAATACTCATAGTGATTTAGAAAAAAAAAACTAATGAACAGGCAATAGTCAGAAATTCTTTTAGTGAATGACCTGTGGGTTGACTCACAGATGACCGCAGGTTAACCACCCAGGTGGCCATAACTCAACTTGGATCATCTGACCACTCGCGGATAACTCAGATAACACCTACTCGGATCAAAACACTAATCTGGACAGACTTACTTAATACGTAAGCTGCTATTTATTAGTAAAATTTTGGATCATTTTGAAAGAATTTATAAATTTTGGTCTATTCTGACCCTAACTTTGAACAATTTGCTGAATTTTGGTTTTACCACTAATCTATTTGGAGCAGTACCAAAATAAATAGGAAATGGTCTAGAAAAATCATCAGTTGAAAGTAAGCACCAAACAGTGGTTTTTTCCAAATGTTCTTACCAAGTTGTATAACAAACAATAAAAAATAAAAAATAAAACTAGTTTTTAATTAGAGTTGTATGTAAAAAACTTTTTATAAAGTAATTATGTAGTTAGACTGCATATATACACAAATAATTTAAAATATTGTTGCTGCAGAATCATTTAATTAGAGTACTACATACTTAATAAATCTACAATTTGATTGGTAGATTAATATTTCTATTATCACGTAATATTTTTCAAATCTGATATCCTCTCAAAATCGATACAAAACCTGTCCACCATACTTACCGGTTTTGGAAGGGCCGATAGTATTGATATCTATATTGATCAATCATTATTGTTCTAACTTTTGAAATGTCAAAGCATCTGATACTGGAGTGCAACCTGGTACACATTTTATTTTCCTGAACTGCAAATCAGATTTCAAGATTAGGACGATCATGAAATTTCAGATCACAGGATCATGTGTAACGTGAAAAATGTAAAAACTTTGAATTTTTTAAAAAATCGCGAAATTTCATCTATGAAACCACATTTGGAACACTTGAAGAACAGTTAACTCAGTGATCGACATAAACAATCATGACATCATCTGTTTACCAGAATTAAACAGGCTGGCCTAAACTATAACTCTAAACTAACCCTAACCTAGGCCAAATGATTGTCATGTGATATTATGATGATCACTGAGTTAACTGTTCTTCAATATACCCCCACATTTTGCATTCTAACAAAAAAAAATTCCTTGCAAAATTTTACTATATGCTCTGCCCTACCCGAACCTTAACTATGGCTCTAACCCAACCCTAATGATAGTAAATTTTGACGCATTGTTTTTGTTTTGATTATAATGTATTGGTTGATCACACTCCGGTACTGTCACCGCCGGCGACAAACACATTTTTTCTTTATTAAAAATCGCAAAAATCTGTATAAAAAACCACATTTAGTGCACTAACAAAAAGTTTTCTTAAACGATTTACCATATAACTATCTAACTTCTAACCTTATTTTAAATGTTAACTCTAACATTAATGAACTTTATAAAAAATTTTGTCTGCGCCACATAATCGACATAACCTGCCACAGAAGTGATGCTATTTGTTGTAGGGTTCCGCATGGGCTGGACTATCCATGGAGCATCCATGGGACTGGTCCAATATGGGCTAGGTTTAGTCCAAAATTTTTGACCATGGATAGTCCATAGTTAATCTGATTGGCCAAAATTATAGATGTCATCATCGTATATGATGTCAAAATTACGAACCCAAACTTAACTTAAAACTAAGCTATTACAGTTTGAATCCATGGATTGTACTATGAGGTCATGGGCTGGGCTTGGGTCTATCCAATTAAATATGGGCTGGATCTGGATTTGAAATACCCCGGCCCATGCGGAACCCAAGCTAGCTATTTGGTACGTAATAGTAATTTTTGTGCAGTTCTGTGCGCCATTTGGTAATTTCTGTGATTTAATCCGTTTTATTTAATTCAACAAGATTTCACTAAGACTGAGTATAAAAGTGATTTGGTAAAATAAATTTAAGAAATTTAATACTCGTCGTACGTACGTACGTATATATCGACGTAAAAATCGAAACGACACCATTTTTTATGAATTTAGGAAACCACCTTCTGCGGCCTAATTAAAAATGTTCCTTGTGATGTTTTTACTAATAAGCGTTATATGGTTCTAATCCTAACCCTAATTATAACACGGTTTTCTTGGTTTTCATTTTACGCGTAACTTTTTTACTTAGAAAACAAACACGACACCTGATCTTAAATTTTGATTGGTTAAAATTACTGGGAGCACTACCTAAAATGTGGATATTAGATTTTTAGTTAATTTTATGCATCACTCAATCACGCTATTCATGCAAGGCAACCACGTTATATGACAGCACTACGAATTCCCGGGTACTACGTATCGAACGTATCGCATTCGGATTTTTGGAATTGGGCAAAATTGAAAACCTCGAATTACTATTTAATTATTGTCGCGGATCACGGATTAAAATGAAATGAGTGGTTTTTATTTGCCCCCTATACTTGTTTATTACCCCTAAATCCTAATCATAACCCTAAAAAAATGCTAAAAGAGTGCACCCCAAAAATTTTCGGTGGCTTGTACTATTTTACACTATATATCATTATTTAATCTGTCACAATTATTACATTTACATTATATATACGTCAACCATATGACGCATTATTAAACTAAGCTCCCAAAACAATAAAACTAATATAATTATCACGTCGAACCCATCCTTTTTACCGTTAAAATTCATCTCTTTATAATTAACTTATAGTCAAATGATTTGACCACGTTAGATATCTACGTATCATAATTACGTCATAAATTTAGGGTAGTGTACGTATTACATATTAGCCAAGCAAAAAAAATAATAATGAAATTTTATACAAAGGGAAAATTTTTCGCAACAAAAGATAGTCTGTATAGTAGCCTCCAAAAGTTTTTAAATCCAGATTAGCGGGATTGAACAAATTTAGGTAAAATTATTAAGAAAAAAAGGGTGTTTATTCACAATACAATAATAATGTGTTAAATGTTGTTTTCTGTGTAACGGTAATAATAATAGATTTTCAGAGATTACATATTCAACCGTTTTGACCCGGGATGTAAACTTTTGACCCGGTTGAACCGTTTTGACATGGGTGACCCGGTTTACTATAACCCGGTTCTAAGCTTTATCGTTATGACCAATTTCTAGCTGATAATTCCTTGCCCTCTTTCGGGATCTTGCAAACGATGCACGCGAACGTCCGGCCCAGGCGAAACGTTACTAGCATCTTGAGGAGTAATTAAGATATACTGTGTGCAGTCTGAGTCACGTGCCGTTTCAATCTTGAGATAAGCGTCAATGCAAAAAGTGTAGTATGAGAAATTAGCAAGATGAACGAAACACTAGATTGAATATGAAAATAAATTTGCATTGTAGAATTACCATCATACGCATACTGATTCTACGGTTCACAGCATCCATGAATACATCAAATTCATCAAGGCTAGAAATGTATATAATGTAAAATTAAATATAACAAGAAATTATAACATAAAGGCGTAAAAATTGAAAATGGTGTAATCACCAGCGGATTGGACATCCCATCGCCTCCCAAAGTGCAAGTAACAAGCATATAGTTGAAAATGATTTTTCTCCTCCGGATAATGATTTTGGATCTTTATCAGCATTTTGATTTGTTTGTTCATCGATTTGAACCTGAAATTAAGATAATTCAATGAACCATTTTGAGTTTATAAAATGTTTGCAAGCAGAGCGCGTAAATCATTAAAAAATAACAATCACCCGTAGAGTTAATTTTTTATTCTGATGGTCAAACAATAGTTTTCCAGTATATCCACGCTTTGATAACTGAAATGTAAATTGAATCCTTGCACGAACAGATATGTAAGTACGAAAATTTCGCCATTTTAGCATGCGTGAGTGCAAAGCTGATTTGAGATCCTATACAATAATTGTATTGTATATTAGCGTTTATTAAAACATAAAAACAAACGATCATTCTTTATAATTTAATTACTTGAATAAATTTTTCCATGTGACCAATTTCAGTTTTTGCATGACGATAAGCATCACGTTTTGCAGCCATATCTGATGCTATTTCTTCAAGGCTTGACCCATGTCTGTACGGATGGACAGGATTTAATCTCAAAAAAACAAAAAGAAATTTCAAAATTTTAACATAAATCACTTACTCCTTTTCCCTTTCTCGTAAACGGTTTTGAATTTGCTTGATTTCACGATCTAATTCATTAGCTGGCTTCGTAACTTCCACACGTTCTGGACAATAATCTGCTGCTTGCTTTGTCCAATCCTATTAGATTATTAAAACATAAATTAATAATTATAATTAAAGCAGAATTAAAAAATAACCGTAGTATAAAGAATTACCTCTAGAACATATTGCTTATTCTTAACATCCTCCTCAGCAGCATTGATTTTTTGCTGTTCTAAGATCATTTTTCTTTCCCAATGTGCCTTATTATTCGCGCTAGTCACACGCATAGACACTTGTTCTTCTATTTGTTCCTGTTGTAAAAAAAAAACTTAAATAAATGCAAATAGACACACAACAATATTAAACGTATTTTAACATGTATATAATTCACATACATTAAGAACATCTACTTCGCTCGACATATCATTAAGCCGTTTGCTCACTTCTTCAATTTCAGTGACTAGTGGTAATTGTTCGTTATCTAGTTGCACTTTTTGTTCTTGAAGTGATGCATAATTTCTTTTATGTTGTTCTATCTCAATTTCAGCTTCCTGCAATTAATTCATTCATATTAAAAAAAGGTTATTCACATTTATGTTCAAAAACTAAAAATTACTCTTATTGCTTCTTCCAATGCAGCAATATTTGCTGGTTCATCTTCCTATATCAAAGAAAAAAATATATATAACAAAAATAAGACAAATAAATATATAAATTTAAAATGCATTAGATCATCATTATCTTTCTAATTTTAACCTGTAAATCTTCTTTCAGCTGAATTATTTCGTTATTCAGTTGTTTTCCACGTCGTTGATTCTCATTAATTTTGTTCTAAGCTCAAGGGAAAAAAATATTAATTATTAACCATCAACATCAACATAAAAAAAAACATAATATTATACAACTTCTCACCTGGATGTCCCTTTGTTCTTGATTCGCCTTTTCAATTTCCGAGTCAGCTCGTCTTATTTCGGTGATATACCGAGACTTCATATAGTTTGCTTCATTAATTTTTTCTTGCGTCTCTCTAAATAATTAAAATATTCTTTATCAATAAAATTTGATTTTACAAGTATACCAATAAAGCAATTTGATTATGCGTACCGAATCTGAGAATCAATATCTTGTGTAAATCTAGAAGGTCCTCTGTAGGGAAAAATTGATTGTGTTGAATAGCCACCGCCTCTGTAAACAAAAAAAAAAAAAAAAAATTAATAATAATGTAATAAGTATGCAGTTTTTAATGGTGATTCCTTTTAAACCACTCACCTATGCCCAACTTTGAACCCGTCAACAGTGTAGCATGCACTAACATTATAAGGGAACCCCTTTCCATCATTGTACATGATTCTATCAGCTTCAGCACGGTTTTCAACAAGAATAACTGATTCAATATGATATTGAATTATAAGTCGCCGTTTAACATTTTCATCTTCAAACTAGGCAGAATTTGAACTATCAGATTTTTTAAATAAAAATGATCTAATGAATGTCATAAATGAAGCTAAATTAATTACATGTAACGCGCGTAAAATTGTCAAATAACGGCCACTAGGTTCTCCAGATGAGAAATCAAAGCGGTCATCCTCGCCAACAATAATTGGAGAATTGCTATTTGGAAATTTTATTAAATATGGTGAGTACGGTGTTTTGTTTTTTTAGAAAAAAAACGCTTGTTTTTTTTTTGCAAAAAAATTCAAAAAATTTTAAGCTATATACCAATGAAATCTTTTTAAAATTCCTGATAGTAGTTGTTGATCATGATGATTACTAACAGAAAAAGCGGTCAAAGAATGTCCGATCACAGATTCCAAAGTGTTTCTCCACTCAGGTTTTGTTAGCTTAATATATCTCCCAAAAGGACCTACAGGTCTCTTATACCATCTATTCTCATGAGCAATTGCATTAAGCACATCAGGTATCGAAGGACCAAAAGCCTTGAGATTGTCGCTCTTTTGATCTCTTAGTTGCTGTATAAGATCATTATGTCGTAAAATGTCATCTTCAGTACGTCGAATATTCTGTACAATTGATCGTTTCTCATTTCTTATGTGTTCTAGTTTCTCAATTAAATTTTCAGATTTTGTCAACAATTCGTGACGTTCTTGTGTTAGTATATTGACTTCATCTTCCCTTTCTTTGACAGCATTCAACACATAATCTCGCCTCTGGCGATTATCATCTTGTAACTTTAGTGCTTCCTCATTTATTTTTATTCGAAATGTTTCGACAGAATGTTTCAAATTTTTAATCTGGTCATTTATTTCCCTTTCCTCTTTCTATATGAAAATTTGATATTATTAACTGATTCTGATATGGGAATTACTAAAAAAAACTTACATGAATCTCGCGTAGTTGCTTTGCTTTCTCTTTTACTTGCATCTGCAATTCTTTTTTTCTGTTTTGCAAAGGTTGAGTAGTAGTAGCATGTTCATGAAGCCTCTGTTCTAATTCAGAAATAATTGAGTTGATTTCATCAAATTTTTTCTATTATTATAATTGTATATGATAGAATAAATGAAAATAAGTATCATATAATTCGGTTTACACCATTTAAAAATTATATTTATATTAACTTGTTCTTTTTCTAAATTAGTTTGAACGCTTGGTAGTCGTCTTCTAGCCCTTAACAAGTTTGCTTCTGCTTCTGCAACTTCCTGTTAAATGATTGGGCACTTGTTAGTTTGAATTTTCATGCATCCATGAATATATAAACTCAAAATCAACCTGTTCTTTTTCTTCAACTTGAGCCCAAGCCATTTGATCCTTCAAATTAGAGACCATTACTTCAAGCTCACGGGCTTTTTCCATATCTTTATATTTTGCCTCGGCATCTTTAGCTGCCCTGAGTAGATCTGGTAGCACCTCTTTTTTGTGCTTAATAATATTTTGGGTTGTTTCGATACTTTCACGTATTAATTCATAATCTTCACTCAATTGCGTCAATTGAGTTCCTTTCATGAAAAACTAATACAAAACAATAAGTTAACAAGAATCGATATTTAAATTAAATATTTAATATGAAAAAAAAGGTTAATATATAAGTGCAAATTACCTTATATTTATCTTCTGAGCTTGAAGAGTGCAAAAATTGACGTGCAGTGTCTTGTGATAGAACATTCATGGGATTGTCCACTTGAATTGCCATATGGTCTAAAATAGCGTTTAATTCATCCCGTTTTCCAGAAACTACCTTTCCACCACTTGTTTTGATTTTATAACCATTACTACCATCTCGACTAATTCTGCGTTCGATAATAATAGAATCACCATAAATATCATGACGATATGCATCTGCCCCTCGATTCCGCAATTTCAATGTTACTTGAGCAACACTTTCAAAATTAGATCATTAGTTATCTATACTTCATTCATTTGATATAAATTTTAACAAAGAATTGATCTATCTAAATACCTTGCGCCTTCACGAATCAGAGACCTTAAATTTGATGCACGGTTCGTCACGTTGGCCTTACCTCCAAGGCAAACAGTGATTCCTGTCAAAATGGCGCTTTTACCACCTAAATAAATATACCGTTTCCCATAGAGAAAATAAATCTTTCAATCACGATAATAATATTAAATGCCAAAATATAATATAAATATACATACTTCCATTATGACCAATGATGAAATTAATTTTTGGACCAAAATTGACTTTGAGGAATTTATGACACATAAAATCCACCAACTCTATTGATTCAATGACACTAGATTCTGCTGTCAACTTAATGATAATTAAACATAAGCATTAGCAAGATCATAAGAACTCATAATAATATGCAGCTTGCGGAAAATCCTCACCCCAGTTGAGCTCTTTCTCCTTAGTTTCGTTCTTTCCAGTTCTTCTGCTGATTCCCTACCAAAATCATCGTCGTCAAAATAGTTATCTTCATCAAAAGACATTTCGTCTGGAAAGCCATTAATTTCTTCTGTTGCAGATCGACGTGCTCTCTTCGAGCTAGATCTGGTCTGTCTCTGTATTTCGTGAATATCATTATATACTTTAAGATATAACTAACCAGTAAAATAATGGTTAATTTAAATTACCGAGTCCTCTTCAGCAATCTCAGTCCCCTCAGTTTCACTATCGGAGAAAACTGCTCGCCGACCTCTCTTTCCAGTTGGCATAATCAAAACTTTTTAAAGCTTTTTTGTTTTTTTTTTGAAATAAATTCTTTAAAAAGACGCTGTTCTTGAGTTTGTGCAAAATCGGAGTTTATACGCGTTTTTAACTAAAAACAAATATCACATGTAATTGTATTTATCGGCCAATGAATTGCCTGTTAATTGTCTAGAATGTGTTTTGCAAAGATTAGGGTCGGTCCGGATTCGGTCGGACTTAATCAAACTTTATTGTTTCTTCTCTGGAGCACTCCGGGTTAAACCCAAACCAGACTAGAATGAGCTATAAAATGAAATCGTATATTTAGTTGATGCGCAGTATTGCAGCATTACACAAACACATGTGTTTATTTTTGTTATCGTTATACTAAAGAACAAAAATATTGACACGTGTGTGGACAGACATCCTATTTTTTGACTTTTTGGTAACCTAATTATGTGTCAAAATCTATACCATGTTGGAGTTGCTTTTAAACCAACCAAACCCAACATATTAATAACTTATTGAGTATAGATATCTAATTTAATTGTCCTGAGCGAATTGAAGGATTTTGAATTTCTATAAATTTCTGTGCAAATGTATTTAAAAATATCAAAAAAAAAAAAGCTTCTGTCGTTCCAACTCACGTGATATAAACAGGTTAAAGGCGATTGGTAATGCTTCACATTAATCTAATCTCTATAAAATAATGATTTAAAGCAAAAACACGAAGCAATGAGTAAATTCTACATAGTTGGATTATTTCTAGCTTAATGATACGAATCGAAAAATCAATTAATCGAAAAATTTTTGGAGCACTAATCGTTGATTGATTATCTACATTAAATCTAATTAACCAATAAAACTAATTGCCGATGAATGTAGTTGCTGCAGATCATGGGAAAGATCAAATTATTAGAGTTGGCTAAATTTTGGAGATCATTCTAACCCTAATCGGTTAACAATTAGGGCAATGACATATATTACGTAATATTTTTGGGGGTGGGGGGGTAGTGTAAAATCTTAGGTTACATATATAAA